TCCTGCCTCAGTGCACTCTCACCACCTCAGCAAGGATTGACAACAAACTACAGCCTCTGGCTGCCCCAAAGCAAGAGCTTGTTTAGAGAGAGGGGGCAATGGTCCTGTACTCTCCACCAGTTTTGATGGAGTCCTACCCCTTCTGGGGATGCTTTAAGAGGATTGTTGTCAAAAGGAGACAACTAAGAGGATGAGCATCAGAACACAAGTACAAGAAAAGGCACCGGGGGATGGACCTGGGTCAAGCTGAGGAGGACACAGAAGCTTGCAAATGTCAGCAGGGTTGGCATAAGTGTAGGAGCTGACCTCCCTGGGGATATCAGCAAAGAGAAGCCACAGCAAAGTGAGGGCCACTACATGGAGACAGGAAGGAAGGGGCTTCCAAGGGCACTGAGAGAGGTTGGTGAAGCTTTCCCAGGAGGTAGTGAGTTCCCTGTCATGAGAAGCAAGCAAGTAAAGCAAGGCCCTGTGTATGTGCTGACTAGTGTGTCTGACTATTTCTCAGGTGGGGTGCATGGGAGGAGTTTTATGATATCCAAGAGACTATGGAAATCATTATTGTCTTTAAGATAAGGAGCACTGCCTGGAGGAGTTTCACAGTTCAGGCACTGTGAAAAGCAGGTAGGAACTCTATAAAGTGGGACACCGAGCCCTGTCACACACGGTAGATGTGTGATGCAAAGCCAAGTCTGGCCTTTCTCACACACACCTCACCTCAGTTTCCTTTGGGTTGGATGAGAGATGTCTCAAGCGGACCTAGAGCCTAAGATGGAGTGGACAGGGGCACTTGTGAGCTAGGGAGGGGCAGCTTGCACTCGATGTGGGCGGCTTTCAAAAAATTCACCAAGAGCCGTCAAAAGCCAACATGATTTTGCCTGTTCTCCACCCTCCTCTCCTCCTTCTACTAGAGAGTCTCTTGGCCCTACTCTGGACTGGTCCCAGAGAGAGCTTTGTAGAGGAGCAGAGTGCCCCCAGCCTGGAGAGGAGGTCAGACCAGACTGAGACAGTGGCCGTCTCACAGGGGACAGTAGGGGCCATCACCTCCTCTCCTCATATGCACCCTCCTGTGCCCAAATCCAAGGAAGCCAGTACGGTTCAAGTTTTCCCGGTGCTTCCTGGGCTGAGGGCATCAAAGAGGCCATATCCTGCTCAACGCTCTTCACCCTCCCTGGCTGAAGCATGGAATCCAAAGTCTCCACAGGGGGAGTTGTGCTGACCCCTCAGATGTCCTCCCAGGACTTTCTCACCTACAGGGAGCTGCATCTCTAGGCAGGGCCAGGCACTGACCCAGTAAGTACCTACTGTGTGCCTGTCAGCTCCATACCACAGGGTCAGCCCACTCAGTACTTCAAAGAAGCTAGCTGCAGGCTGGAGGGCACCCAGGGTGCTGTGGGACCTGACGCCGGTTCATTAAAAAGAGCCAGTCTGCTTAGCCTGGAGAAGCAGAGCTCCCAGGGCAAAGCACAGCCCACTCTTCAAAGAGAAGGAGCCTGATCAGAAGGGAAGGTGGAGACCAAGATCAACTCCTGTGTGTGCGCTGAGCAGCCAGAGGCTCATGGATTTGACCTAGGGTCTCCTAGGTCAGACCCTCTGGCCTCTGGCCGTGCAATGTGGAGTTTTCCGTGTGTGTGTGTGTGTGTGTGTGTGTGTGCATAGATGTGTGTGCTTTTGATTTTTATGCATCTGTGTATGCATCTTCATGCTCTCACCTACACACCAAATGCCAGCTTAAAGCAGATCAGTCAGCAAATGTCCAAGAAGAAGCGGCATTGGACAGTATAGGTGAAGAGACCGGTCCTGGCTTCTCTGCTGGCTGCTCTGTCCATGCACGTGCTTGCTGACTGGTGCTGTGATGTGCACAGGCTGGACAGGGACACGCTGCAACCCCCAGGGCAGAGCCTGGAGCCTGGATGGAGGGAGGAGGAGGGCACAGCTTGCACTCAATGTAAGGTGAATATTGTGGAGGTAGTGAGCTTCCTGTAGCTGCACAACAGGGGGCGAGGCCAGGAGGACCTCTTGGGGTGGGCGTGGCCAAGCACCTGCCTGTCTAGGTGTCTTGTGGAAGAAAGCCCTGCAGTCTCTATTTAGAAACTGCACCACGTTCTGGTTCCAGGAGCTGACAGTTGTGATGTGGAGATGGTGGATGTGAAAGGCTGCGCCCACCAATGTCTAAGAAACTAGGACAGAAGGAGGCTGTGCCAGGCCTGTGCACACATAGCCCCTCTCCCAAAGCATTTCCTCTCCAGAGCCCCTTGGAGCATTGCTTTGACTTGGCCTTGCCAGTCATGGGGATCAGGGGACCCTGTAGCTAGAGTGTCCACAGGACCCTGACAGCTCCAGGACCCAGGCTCCAGGCTGTGGCTCCTGGCATTTTAGGCAGTGTTTGTTGTAAAGGGAGGAAGACTGAATGGAAGAACTCTGGTCCTTACTCTGCGCTGCCTCCCTACAGCTGCAAGGCAGAGGTGGAAGCCGAGCTCCTCCCTCCAGGAAGGGGCAGGTGGTGAGGCACGTGGGGCAACAGTGTGGGAGGGCCGGGCTCTTTGTTACAGCAGCTTAGCCTGTGCCATGTCTCAGGGAGTCCAAATAGCCTCTGCAAAGACTCCCTCAAATGTTGCCGCCTTATTGTTAGCTGGATCTTGCATGAATGTACTGTTCGTTGTCTGTCCCGCACTCCCTGCTCTCTATCCATGCAAGCTTCATAAAGGAAGGGCTGGGTTTGTTGTTTGTTTTAGCAGGTTGTTTTTGGTCTTGCTCAGTGTAATATTCCTAGAGCCCAGCAAAGTTCAGCTGCACAGCAGGTGATGCATACTTGTGTGGTTGACAGAGGACAGTGATAGCTGGTGGCAGCGGTGACAGGTAGAGGTGGGGATGGAAGTGTGGGCTTGAGACTTATCTGTAGGGCCACCTGGCTCCAGCATCAAATCTCAACACTCTCCTGCCACCCTTAGGGAGAAGTTGACAAAAGAGCTCAAATGCTAGCAGAGGTCAAGGTGACCTTGACCTGAAGGTTACCTTGAGGCAGTTGGGTTCTGTGGCCACTGGCCCCTCTTCCCATGTCAGCATGCTGGGCAAAATGGATTGCTGCTGGGTGTGCAAGAGCCTTCTAGGAGCTCACCCCTGCCAGCGCTTCAACCCAGGCCTATAAATTGATCTGCAGCATGTTTTGATCCGAGTGATTCAGTTATTGGCCAATTCCTAGATCGAGAGGCAGTTAAGCTGCAGAGAGATTTAGCTTGTGTGTGCACCCGCGTGGTTGTGTAAACTGCCTGTCAATTTACACGCGTACATGAGCTTGCATATGTGCACCCTGCAGAGGTGCATGGACATCTGTATGTGACTGTACGTGCGTAGATGTTCAAATGTGACTGCGTGTATATGGGTGGAATCTGTGTGTGTGCATTCTTGGCTGCTGGACCTGAATTTCTCCTAGGACTGTTTTCCTGGTACACACCCAGTCTTGATCTCTTTTCTTTTCCTTTCTTCTTGGAAATCCATTACGAAAAGGATTTTTTTTTTTTTAAACCCACCTCCAGGGGGAGGGGGGCTGAGGGAAGGGGAAGCTAAAATCACAAGGCCCAGATCAAAACACTCAGCAGCTAAATGAATTCGGCAGCATTTTCCCGCATGACTTGGAGGGATAATTTAGTGAGGCTGCCAGCTGGAAGGAAAGGGATTAATTCTGCACTTAGCACAGCTCCAGTGAATAATTCATCACTGGAGACCTTTGTGCCAGCCTCTGGGCCATCAGGCCAGCATCCTGCCCACCTGCCTGTTGCCTGCCTGGGCCCCCGAGTCCCTTGACCAGGGCACCTGACGCTCCCTTCAGCTCCAGGATACCTATGCCTGGGACAGAGGCAGAAGGCAGAAGGAGGCAAGTAAGGGGTACTGGCAGATTCCAGACCCTGAGAAAGGCCCTGGAGGGCTTAGCTTCTCCCTGGAAAGTTTGTGACATTTTTCATCAAGGACCCAACAGTCCTCTTTCCTGGGATCTTGGTTTTTATTGTGACCTCCCCTTTCGGTGCCTTCTTGTAGCTGTGCCTGGTTTGGTGACAGGGTCGCTGTCAGAGCCTTTAAGGAGCTCTGTCCCATCTGGGAGCTACCTAGGCACCAAAGAAGCCTGCCTGGATGGAGAGCACGATGCTAAGCACCCACAGCAGGGAGAGGCTTGGTGGGTGATGCTTCAGGTTGGTACTTTCCAGAGAGAGCCCTTGACCCCATGATGAAGCTCCCCATGTCCTTCCCAAGTAAGGTCCCTCCCTAATCCTGGACCTGTAGCACTGTGAGCTGTCACGTGTGGGACTATGTCATGTCATGTAATGTTGCTGACCTTAAGGCTGGGAGATTACCCAGTAGCCTGATCTCATCTCAGCGGCCTCTTTAAAACCAGTTGTTTCCTTGGATGCTGATGGAAGAAGTCAGAATTTTCAAGCCAGGATAGACTGGATATGCCTGCTGGCATGAGGTGGAGGGGTGGGGTGAGAAGGACTGTGTGTGGGGTGGGGAGCTGGATCTGGGGTGTGGGGCCACGCTGCACAGAGCCAGATCTTGCCAGCAGCCCCGATGAACTTGGAATCAACCTCTTCCCTGAGATCTTTGGGAAGGAAGGGAACTTGCCAGTCTGTGGTGCCCAACTACTTTCCTGTGACAGAACTGTCAATGAGTATGCAGGTGCTACTTGAAGCCAACTTGTCCTAGTTCATATTTGCAGGAAATGGGCCCCGTGGAAATAGGCCCAGCCTGGGCTGGACCAAGGCCAGACCCCTGCTCTAGGCGGTCCTCTGCTCTCACTCTCCTCATCCTAATCCCAGCTTTTTCTCTGGCTTTCTGGAGCCTCAAGTCACCTACAGACATCCAAAGCAGCATCTCTATCCAAATCAGTGGTCATAAGGCCCAGGCTCCAGTCTCCAACCACAGCCAGCAGTCATGAAAGTGGCCGGAACCCAACGGAGGGTCATGGAGCCGGCATGTGTCTTCTGTGACCTTCCAGCCCACAGCCTTACCTCAGAGGAAAGCAGCTGCAAGGAGACGTCCACTGTGGGTGCCTCACCACTGATGGTTTTCAGGGTGGTGTCCTGCGGAAGGAGGGAGCAGTCAGACCGAGCTGGCCAGGGTAGCTTCCAGACTCTGCTCCACCCACAGGAAGTGCTGGGAGATGGAGGCGTGGCCAGGGGGGGTGGAAGGAGGTGAGAGCCAGCCTCTGCCTCTGTTGCCCTCCCTGCTTCCTTGCCATTGCCTTTCTCAACTCCCCTAGAGCCCTGACTGGCAGCTCTGGGCTCATTTCCAGGCATTTATTTATTGAGAGCTCTTATGTCTGGAGGTCAGGAGTACTTTAGGGGAAAAGAAATAGAAACAGACATAGAGAATAGTAACAGAATAGCCATAGGAATAGATAATAAGAATGGGAATGATATTCACTGTTACTGAGGAGCTATTCAAAATGCCTTCTAGACATATATTTTTCCTAACAAAATCTCAAGGCAACCATATGAGAAAAGTTTTGTTACTGTGAGCCCATTTTATAGACTTGGAAACTGAGGCAGTGAGGCTTTAAATAATTTTCCTACAGTCATGTGCCCTGGTAGGTGGTGGAATCAGAATTTGGGCCCAGAAGTCCCAAAGAGTTCTGAGAGCCTGAGTTCTTGACTCTTGTCACACACAGAGGCTGTCCCTGGGCATGTTGTTTCCGTTTTACAGATGAGGACTGAGATTCAAAGAGGTTAAGTCATGTACTCCCGAGAGGACTGGGTAGGCTGAAATTTGAACCCAGGTCTGGTTCGAGATCTTAGCTCTGTCAGCTTTCATGGGGCCTCTGGGCTGCTTCTCTGGCCCTGTTCTTCAGCCCCAGAAGCAAGACTGACTCTGGTGTTGGGGACCTCTTGAACTACAGAGGTGGGCTCACCTGGCAGGTGCCCTGATCTGAACTGCTGAGGGAGCCACATTCTTGAAGATGGAGCAGGCTCAGTGGAGGGGTAGGGTGGGGACACTGGGGGTCGGACAGGGGACTCACGGTGATGGGAAGCCGCTTGACATGCAGCCCATTCAAATCTTTCCCTGTGAGCATCTTGCGGTAGAGCTGGCTCTTCAGTGGCAGCACGGAGATGCCCAGGGGCTGGCTGAGGGTCCACGGTGTGTTGCCATGTGCTGCAGGGAAGGAGCAGCTGGGCTGGGGCCGGGGACCCCTGGGGTCCTCAGGTGCCAGCCTCAGGTCCCACCTGGGCCCAGCTCTGACACGGAGCCTAGCTCCACCCCACCACCCATCTGCTTCCTGCCTCCTGGCTTGTGCCTGCATACCCATCCTCCTTCTCCATCTTCAGGGCTTCAGGAATCTAACCAGGTTCTGCATCTTTGAATATTTGTATGATCACCTTAGTCTCTGTCATTTGGGGGATCTGATCTTAGGCTGTGCCGGTGAGGCCTGACCTGTGTTCTCCGAATCCGATCTTCCCACCCCTCCTTTGTGCTCTGGGAGCTGAAAACTCAGCGGCTCCTCCCGCCCCTCCTCACTGATGGCTGCTGTGAAAGCAGGTGGTGTAGAATAGAAGCAGGTGTACTGGCCGGTGCCCTGTGGCTTCCCCATGGACAAGAGGCCAGGCAGGCCCTCCTATCTTCATCTGCCCGCCTGGGAGCCTGCCTTGGCACCTGGGAGCCTGTAACCTATTGCCACAGGAGGCAGAAGCAGGAAGGTGCAAACACCACTTCCCTGGTGAGTGGCAACCCCTGCATGGCAGCACAGGGCACTGACCTGAAGAGGAGGGGTAGTACTCCAGCACCAGGGCTGTGTCGTCTGAGAAGTTGGTGGCACCATCTCGGCCTTGGAAGAGGAAAGACTGGTTCCACACCGGCAGGTCTGGGGGCCCTCCAGGCTTGGACAGCTGGAAGGAGAGTTGGCAGCAGGTGTGGGGCCACAGACCTCCCAACACCAGGCATCTGTGCATCTATATCTATGTGCACTTTGTCCCAATTGGAAAAGCAACACACACTGAATATCTTTAGAAAACTCAGAAAGTAGGATGGAGAGCGAAACCCTTCTAATCTTACACCAAAGACAAACACTCACAAAACAGTGTTTCTAGATTGCTCTGTGCACGTTTTGCATATAGTTGTCATTCTAGCAGCCTGCATTTTTCATTTCCCACCAAAACCTAAGTATATCCAGAGGTACAAGAAGCTCCTATTGCCCATGACTATAGTAACTCCAGGATCTCCTGTCAGATCCCAGTGCCCTAGTTTCTCTCTCCCATCTCATTTTTTTCCTGCAATAACACTTTACTACACGCCTTACCTCTGTGTCCCAATACCTTAAGAACCGTTGGGTTAAAGGATATGGTACATATTGTAAGCCACTTGGCTGGTGGCATTTTTCCTAGGTATTAGGCCAATGTTTGCAGCTGGTGGTACCATTAATGTGACATTAGATCTGTCCTTTCTGTCACAGCCCCCCTCTGTTCCATATGTATTGTTCAGGCTCTCAGAAAAGCCACAACAGGCTTGCAGATGCCAGGGACTTAGTCTGTGTGGTGGGGGGCATTGGGTACCCTTGAGACTTGGTGGCACACTGATTCAACACTTGGGCATACGCTTGGGGGTGACAAAGATGATGCAATGACAACATTCACTACAGAGGCTACAGGAGATGTTTCTAGGAGTGGTCAGAAGAGTTGCCTTGAAGGAAGCAGGATTAGAGGACGTCTCTGAAGGAAGATCTGGCAGGGTGAAGGCAGGGAGAAAGTGCTGGGTGGGAAAATGGCACAAGTGACAAAAGGTGGAGTTGGCACCAAGCGTGATGTTTGTGGAGGGTGCCTGGAATGAGGAGCGTCCCTGAGGAAACCCCGCATCTGCAGAGGCTACGAGGTGGGGAGATGAGGGCTGGGTGTCAGCTTGCAGCAGGGGGCTCTACACGGCCTCAGCATACACCCTTCACATGGCTGGCTCGTCCATGTGCCCGTCAGGGGCTGTCAGCAACAGGGACAGCTGCCCCTACCTCCCGTGGCCCTGCGGGAGTCAGTCGTCACTGGTAAAGGTCAGCACAAATGTGCTGTGCACTCCAGGAGTTATGGATGCAAGAACAAGGACCGTCAGCACAGAACCACTCCCCCATGGTGGCAGCATCCTGACGCCTGTCACACTAATGTGCCTGCTGCAGAACTCAGAGGCTCAGCTGTGCCTGCCCCCATCCCCAGGGAGATGGGTTGTGGTCAATGTGGGCCAGGGGGCTCCTGAACACTGGAATAGTGGCAGGGGTAAAAGGTGTGTCCCAGACACACAAGTCTGGTCCTAGGTTCTGTGGAGCAAGGGAGTGATCTTTCAGGACTGGTCCCCAGATCATGTCTCCCTGGGTGCCAGAGTGGCATCCATATGGGCTGGGCCAGATGCCAGGCACAGGGGCACCAGGAAGGACCTGTGACTCAGTTCCCTGCTGCCCTGTTGCTTGCTCTCAGCCTAGAGCAGGAATTAATGGATGCAAGCTGTCTGCTCTGGGGCCTATTAATATGTCTAAATGGAGCCTAGAAAGCAAGAGGTAGTGAGTGTGGCTGCCTGCCCAGTAAGAGAGAAAGTCCCTTCAGAGTGGCTTTCCAGAGTAAGTCCCCCTGGAAAGACCCTCTCAGACCTATATCTGGCAGGGAGGGTCAGTCCCCTCCCCACCCCCACACAGGACTTAAGGCCAAATACCTGCGGTCTGATGTCAGGGCTCTGCCGAAGGTATTGGTGCTGATGTGTATGCCGGTGTGGGTAGGGTGGGGGTAGACAATGCTACAGATGCTAATGGGACAGGCCATGGCAGGCTGTGGAATTAAGGGATGTGATTAACCCTCAGCTGTGATCTTCAGAAAAGCCATTAACCCCCGGCCACAGAGACAGCCTTGTCATCCCTGGGGACAGAGCCTTCATTCCATGGGCACACCACACCTCCTCCTGTGCCCCTGGGCCACCCACACATGCAGCCACCCTGCCTGCTGTGCTTGGGGACAGCAGAGGCATCAGGGAAGAGTAGCTGTTGGCAGCTGGGCCTGGAGTGGTGCTTCAGGGAGCCAGGACCTTTTGGCTCTGGGCCTGGTTCTCCCTCAGCCTTGCTGTGTGACCTCTCTTCTCTCTTGGACCTGGGTTTCTCATTGTCCAATAGGAAGACACATTGTGTGCCATACCTGGAAAACCAGTTGTGAGGTTGAAAGGCGCGATAGATATTTTACTATGAAGGTACAAATTCAATTCTGCAAATGCTGCCTGAGGGCTTCTCCACGACAGCCATCTGTAGGGTGCTACAGGGAATACAGGGAGTTAGTGCCAGATCTGTCCTCACTGTCTTGTAGCAGGGGCAGCTGGGATGTCTGAAGAGAATGCCTTACTCTGAGCTGGAGCAGAGAGGGTCTGAGGGATGAGACCAAAGCAAGGATGAGCAAGGCCATTTTGGGCTGAGGGAACAGCAGGGCAAAGGCTAGACATGAGAGAGAACATGAGGATATGACAGCAAGACCTCTAGCCAGTCTGGGGACTGTCCATATGACTTGGAGCAGGGGGTCAGGGGCCTGAACCTGGGCAGAACATGGCTTACCTATTTCTCAGGAGTCTGTGGGGACAGAAAGAGCCCCCATCAGAGCTTGGGGACAAACTGGCTGTGGGCTGAGACAGGAAGAGGAGGTAGTAGACACAACAGGCTCCTAGGGGACCACAGAGCAGAGTGTTGGGTTCAACCCTACCATACTCCTTACTCATTAGTGTCTGATCATCAGTGATTGGCTCAGGGAGTACACATGAGCCTATGCTGGCCAATGAGATGAGAGGGGAGGGCACACATGAACTCTGAGCTCATGGCTACTGACAGGTGGCCTCCCAGGTAGGGCTCTGCCCATCCCCCACTTTCTGCTCCTGCTGTCACTCCTGGCACCTGGGCACCTCTGTACAGGCTGTCAGTGAATTCCCAAACTGGCCTAGCTTTCTTGATGCTGGGTGACCTTCAACAAGTGTCCTACCACTGGACCTCTGGCATTGGGGGGAAGTCTCTGTGGTGAGGGGGCACTTCCCCAGCTGGGGCCAGTTAGGCAGCAAAGGCAAAGAGGATAGGAGGGGGTCCCCTCATTAAAGCAGGCAGAGCCTCCTGCCCCCTGGGACAGCCTGCTGATTGGTTCATAATTTTCTGGGCAAATGCAGGGGCATGTGTGAGATAACTCTGGGGAAATCAGGCCAAGGATTGGTTTGGGTTTGAAGCTTCTGTCCCCAGAGTCCCCCTTTGTCCCGCCCCTCCTCACCGCCATCACTCTTGCCTGTGCCTGAGCCTTCTTCTAAAGGCTTTGTCTTTAAATGAAGGCTGGGACTCCAAAGGGGTATCTCATTCTAGCTTTCCAGTGCCAGGCACAAGCCCTGGTGGGTAGACAGCAGGAGGGTCTTCCCAGAACCCCCCTGTCCTCCAAGGTCCCTAGAACTGTGAGAACCATCACGTAGGGGAAGATCTCACTGAAGTGTGGATGTGGGAAGAGATCAATCCGGACCTAGCCATGACCTGTTGACCCCCTCCGGATCTTCAAACACTGCCCCTATGTTCAATGCCACTCACTACAAACCATGCTCTTTCTGTCCTTGACTGCCCGGACCAACTCTCCCCCTCCCAAAAAAGCATGACCATTCTCCCTAGCCAACCATGCTTCTTGTCTTCTGATTAATTAAAAAAAAAATTTATTGCAGTGAAATAACGTACCATGAAATTTACCATCACGTTTTTTTTTTTTTTTTAAATTTATTTATTTGTGTGTGTGTGTGTATGTGGCCAGCTCAGCCCACCAGGGGGCTGGGCTGGCTGGCATGTGGTGCTGGGGGATTGAACCGCAGTCCCTGTGCTTTGCTAAGCTTGTTCTAAGTAGGTGCTTTAGACCACTGAGCCATCTCACCAGCCCCATCACGGTTATTTTAAACGCACAGTTCAGCACTGTTAATACATTCCTATTATTGTGCAGCCACCAAAAACATTTCTACAACTTTCTCATCGCCCAAACAGAGACTCTGGGTTCATTACACAGCAACTCCCCATCCCCCAGGAACAATACTCTGCTTTCTGCCTCCATGAATACACTGATTCTCTGTCCCCCTGCATGTGGTCAGACAGTATTTGTCCTCTACTATCTCTTCTTCTCTAGTTTTGGCAGCTCTGAAGTCCCTGTTGGCTATTAGGTTGTATATGACCTGGGATGATATTTAACATCCTATGTGTGGGTATCCTGTCATTACCAGGGACAAAACTGGTCCTGGATACACAGCAGGATGGGGTAAACTTGTTTCCAAGTCAGGTAAACCTCTGGTTCACACAGGTGGATGGGTAAGGGTTAGGGTGAGTCACTAGATCTGTGAGCTGGTGACAAGGTGACTGGTGAGGGGCCTTACCTGTGGGCACCCATCCTGGCTGACCTGAGGCATGTCGAAGTTCAGCACTGATGAGACAGGGAAGGAGAGTGTGGTGATGGGCAGCCTCCTGGAGGCTGGGTCCCGCCTTGCCTGGGTGGCCCTGGGGAGGCAAGTAGACAGGGAGGGGTTGGTACTCACCATCCTGTGCCCAGCTGGCACCTATGGCTTCCTTGGGGACTCTGGACTAGTGTGAGAATGGGAGAGGGCACTGAGCACCTGGTGTGGGCTAGACCTTGGCATAGTAGGTGGACCTGGTTCTGTGGCTGCTAACACGCGTCAGGAGGGATCATCTGGATGGGGTGCAGCTCCCAGGGTCCCTTATCTGGGACTTGCTGTGGCCTTGGCCATGTCCGAACAGCTCAGCTTGCCCACTTTTAAAATGATTCCACTTTTGAGAGACCCCCTCAGAGTAACTTTCCTGTCCTACCTTATGGGAATCCTGGCTCAGGCATGGAGAAACGTGTGTGTGTGTGTGTGTGCGAGCGCGCGCGCGCACTGGGCTCCCTGGGCTGTGTATCAGGACACCAGTCATCTCTTTCTTCCAACAATAAAGGGTGCCTGATAGGTCATTAAATCCCCCAGGGATGCAGGTGAGCCAGAGTCCTCTTGGGCCAACATGGAATATGACAGGGGGAGACAGTGGTGTGTGTCTCTGGAGCATGTGTTCACTAGGGGACTTCCCACTGTGGCCTGGGATGGTCAGCATAGCAGAAATCCCTGCATGGGGGCTGGGGAGATAGCTCAGTAGACTAAGCACTTGCCTGGAAAGCACAAGGGCCTGAGTTCAATCCCTGGCTCCGCAAAAAAAAAAAAAAAAAAAAAAAAAAAAAAAAATCCCTATGTGAGGACAGTGATCCAATGAACTCCAAAGGAAGTCAGGGGTGTGTGAAGACAAACAGGGGCCAAGGAGACCTCCAGGAGATGAGGGAAGGGACTTTTACATGGAATTCCGAGATGGCCTTAGGCTGTGTCCTCTGGGGACAGCCACCAGCTGGCAGCTGTAACCCTAAAGTAGATCAGGGGAGGGGACTGTGGAGGTGATGCTGAGATGGGAGGCAGGTTTGGAGGAGCAGTGGCTCCTGGGCAGGGAGGGGCCTGCAGCCTCCTCCACCCAGCTCTCCAAGCCTGTGTGCCCCATCTCATCCCCTCACCATCTCTGGCCTGCAGTGGGAAGCTCATGGGGCCTCCACTGGGATTTAGGGAACTTTGAAGGATCTTGGGGCCAGGGCAGGCTTCCAGGGCTCCTGAAATTAGTCCTCTATCCTTTGTGCTCCATCTCCTCCCTCCTGGCCCACACCCAGCTGGGACCCACTCACTTAAACTCACTGAGGCTGGGAACCACCCGGGCAATCACCACCATGGGTTTGGAGTTGTTGATCAGGGGCTCATTGACTCCCCCAAGAAAGACCTGGAGAAGAAAAGAGGCAAGTGAGGCCCACGTGGACATGGCATCCAGGGTATAGCCCACCCATCATCTTCATTTTCCAGTGAGGCCATCCCCACTGCCAACCTCCACACTGCTCTTCCCTGCTCTGACTGCACTTGGTCTGTGCTCTACTCTCTGTCTGGGGCCTGTGTCCCTGAGTGCCTTGGGGGCACTGATAGGTCTCAATAGGTACCCTCAAGCAACAGCTGCCTCTGGGGACAAGCTCTGAGGAAAGAGCCAGGCTGGGAGCACGGGGTCTTGGGGCAGGATAAGGTTGGGTGAGGCACTCTGCCTCCCCTACATTTCTGTCCATCAAAGAGCACATAAAGCCGGTTCTAGGTTTTTCTGGATCTCCACTTAAAATTTTGTGAGAGAACACTCTATAAACTGAGGACATCAAGTCCAGGTCTGGTCTCTCCAATCATATTGAGCTTTCTGAGATCAGAGGTCACAGTCACCCCCCCCCCCCGCCATCACTCTGGTGCCTGCTTTTGCCCATTTGGAAAAGAATCCTCAGCACTGGCACCTCTAGAATCCTCTCTGCCTCATACCCCCAATGACTTCAGTCATCTGTCACCCTCTGAGTATCCATGTATCCTAAGCCCAACTGCCATCTTCTCTCAGGGCTCCCAGTGGCAGGCAGCAAAGAGGCCATGTCCCCAGGGATTGGTGGTGACCAGAAGTATTGCCCTAATACTGTCACCTGCTCAGCCCAGCCAGGCCAGAGGGAGAAGACAGGGGTTGTGGCCCTGCATTCTTCCTCTGCCACCCCAGAAGCTTCTGACCCAGCTCCCCACCCATCCCCTCTTCACCTCCATTTGTATAGGCTTACCATGTTAAAAGAGAAGTGTGAACCCCAGGGCTGGAGAGAGGCAACAGCAATGGCCTCAGGGAGGCCTGGGAGCTGAGGTCTTGGGGGTGGGGGTACTTAGGAGAAGAACATAAAGGGAAGAGGCTCTGGGAATGGTGAGGAACCATGCCTAGGACAAAACTGGGGGCAGGAAGAGGCCTCACCAGGTCCCTTTCAGCTGGTCACCTGGCATGTGTTTGCTCCAGTCTGGACCACTGTTTCCCAGCTCTTATGCTGAGGGTTTGGGCCAGTCCTTGGGGGCCTTCTAGCTCTGGCCTTCCATGGAAGGAGAGGGCACAGGGAGAGGTTCATGCTGGATCTGTTCCCTGTGTTCCTTCCCCTCAGCACCACGTGGGGGCCCTCTGCCATGATCCCACTTGGCGGGTGTGAGCTAATCAGTGTGTGACAGTTCCCAGGACCTCCCAAGGGATCTCTGAGGATGGCATCCCTGGAGGGCTGTCAGGCCCCATTGCTGACAAGGACTCCAGTAGGTATAAGGTGGGGGGCTAAAATGAGGGCCATTTCACACCTATTCTGTGCTGGCTTGCTCAGGTGTAGGTGACACAGCTACCTAAGCACACCTGTTCACAATGGGGGAGAGACAAACAAGTCCTATCCCTGCACATGTGGCTAAAGCACAGTGCCTGTCCTGCCATGCTCACAGTGTTTGGAAGAGAAGGGGTCAGATCAGCCACACTGGATAGGGAGCCTGGGGCCCTATCCAGGGAGGTCATCTCCAGACCATGCTGGGTGTGACCTGTCATCCACAGGCAGTGTGAAGGCTGCAGAGAAGGGGAGACGGGCCAGGTCCCTGCACCATGTCTGCCTTAAACATCAACTGTTCCTCACTTGTGAGGGCACTGGAAGGCCTGGGATGAAAGGTTTATGGGGACTGGGATGGAGGTTGGGCCTGAGCTAGACCCAGGCCTGGCCTGGCTAATGGAAGAGGCCTGTGAATGGTTTTTGAATGAATGAATAAGCTCCCTCTACCTAATGGGCAGACTAGCCAAACCTCAAGAAGAGTTGGGGATGCCTTGAGTTTTTGCATGGGGAACTTGGGTCAGGGGTCTCTGTGCCAGGAGGAAGGAAAGGATTGAAATCAGCTAGCAGCTGTAGCCCCAAGCAGGAAGTTCAGGGCTCTCTCCACTTTGGTAAAATGCAGGGAGTGCTGAGACTATGGGAGGCCCTGGTCCTGGAGGGACCTTCAGGGCTCCCCCTGCAGCACAGCGCATGTCTGTAGCAGAGGGCAGCAAGGGGCATCTGTCCTCCCACATCACAGCTGTCCTCTCCAACTACTCTGGATATTTTGGAAACATTTGGCCTCTATGTCTTGATCTCTTCCTTGGTTGCCCCTGCTCCAAACTCTCAGGCCAGCCAGAGGTTGCTGCAGGCAGGGCCTGAGCATCTTCCCACACCAAGGACAACCCATAAGCCCCAGCCCTGGTACCTCCAAAGCCGTGTGGTCACTGCCAATGTAGCGGGGGATGAAGCTGCTTTTCCGAACAATGGTTGCGTACAGCTGCGTGTTGGCAGTGGCTTTGTTGCTGACCTCAGACTGTATGGGATAGGGACAGTGTGGGGGAAGAAGATGCACAAGAAAGGGCATGTCTGAGGAACAGAGCTTGGCCATAAATCCAGCCCTCTGCAGCCATCACTTGGCATTGCTCCACCGGGGCTCTGAATGATAATTAAAGCTCATGGTCCCCATGAGCCCTTCCAAGGAGATCAATACAATAAATCTCCCTTGTCCATCTGAATATTTCATCACCCTTTCGAGGGCCACCCAGGCCTGTTGTCTGGGTGAGAGGTGATAACAAGGCTAGGTTGTTAAGGGAGAGAGGGGTGGGGCCTGGCAGATGCTCCCAGAACTGCAGTCTCTATGCATCACACATCTCCAGGCCTTTATTTCCTGCCTGTACCTGGGGCCTCTTCCTAGAGCCTTGGGGTCCCTTGTGTCCTAGGGGAATTAGAGGCCCCTGGGGCTCTGGTCTGAGAGTTGCTCAATGGGAAGGTCAGTGCTGCAACCTGGAAGGGGGTGGGTGAGGAGGAAATGACTGGAACTGAGCCGCTTCTATAAGCTAGGACCTCTCTGTAGAACCCTCCAGATGACCTGGCCAGGAGGGTCCTGTGGCACCTTTGCTGATGAGAGATGGGGGCCTGGCACTAAGTGGCCCCCTGTGAGCATCCAGCTGGTGAGTGGCAGGCATGGGACAGGAACCCAGAGAATCTCCTCTTATAGTTTTTTACTCCAGAAAACTCCAGGGGTCTGCAGTTCCTGAGTGGGGAGGGGACACGGGTGTTGCCACTCATCTGTGGCCCATGCGTGGCACATAGTAGGTGCTCAATTAGTGCTTGAGCAGTAAGAGACTGAGACTTCTTCTTCACCAATGAGTGCTCAGCAGGGAGCAGAGGAACTAACCTGGGTCAAGGACCCAGAGGCTATCTGCTCCAGTGGGAGCTGTCCCTGAGAGCTGCATCCCAGGGAAAGCTTAACCCCTGGTCTTCTTCCTGCTAACATGGAAGGTGGTGGTGGCACAGAAAGAGCTGGAGTGGGGGCCAGCATGACCTGAGCTTACTGTCAGCCACCACTCAGAGGGCTACTCCCCCAGAGCAGCAGTCCCATGAATCAAATGTGATTGATGTTGAGGATTAGGGATGTGTGTGAAGCATGTAGCTCAGGCCTGAAACACAGTACAGACTTTGAAAGTACTCTTTAATTGGTGTATTTATTTAATGTGTTTTATGTAAATTGGGTTGCTTTATGAAGATGAATGGGGAAAATTACAAATTCCTTTCTGTTTTGTATTGTTTTTATGAGACAAAGTTTCACTGTGTAGTTCAGGATGGTGTTGAACACAGTATGTAGCCCACACTCACCTCAAACTCACTGTGATTCTCTGGGCTTAGCTTCCTCGAGTGCTGGGATTATAGGTGTGTACCACCACACCCAGTATAGAGAATTCCAAATTCCTGTGAACATCATTCCTATCAGGGGCTATGAATCCTATGTAATTCTGGACTTGTCTGGCTATGGGGTAGGTGTGGGTTGGCAAACTTGCTCTTGGATAACTGGGGGGGGTAATCAAAGTGCTCCTTACTAATACTTCCATTTGACCAGAGATTATGCCCAAACCCAGGGCTTTGACTCACCTTCCCCAGCTCAAAGTGATAGGGGTGGAAGACACGCAAGTACTTGACAGGAATCTTGTAAGACAAGAGCTCCTCTTTCTTTTTGTCATCCACCACCTGGAGGACCATATCTGGAAAGAGGAAAGGAACACAGGGTTAGGAAAGGAACAGGCATCTTCTCTCCCAGCAAGTAGAGGCAGTGAGAGGTGAGAGGCATTGCTGAGCACAGGGGCACAGGCCACTGCATGGACACACATCTGCACTGCAAGGCTCCGTGTAAGGTGCCATTAGGACCCCAAATGTGTTTTTCTTCCAGAGACAAGAAACTCCCATGGGCCGGGGAGATGGCTCAGTGGAATAAGTGCTTCCCTGGCAAGCACAAGGACCTGAGTTCAATCCCTGGTTCCTCAACAAAAAAAAAAAAAAAAGAAACTCCCAGCCCTGAGGTGCAACACAGAGCTGAGCCCTGACCCCAGAGGTGATAAGCACATGTGCACCCAGACAGAATTGAACAGGGACAGGTCCCTGCTGTTAGCCAAAAACACTCCTAGCTTCTCAGTCAGGATTATCTTCCCATGGTACAGTTGGGAAGGTAGAGGCTCAGTTAGGAAAAGGGATCTGCCCAAGAAATCCTCCAAATGCAGCTGTCAGCCAAGGTTTACTCCAAAACTAGTCTCAATGCCAGGGATAACTTTCCCAAAAGACCACCTTTTGGCATCCAATGGCATGAACATTAAGGTGAACTCCAATGTCCTGAACATAATCATGTAGTCCCACTTAGTGAGCACCTGCTCTGTGTCAGCCATGAGGATGACATTCTTTAGCTATACTCACTAGAGTGGGTGCCACCATCTCTGTTTGTGTGACATAGGCAGGGAGCACAGAGGGATTATAAAACTGGGCTAACACCACACTGCTAAGAAATGGATGATGAGAGAGACCAGGTTTGGTTGCCTTTGAGGCAACTTTCTATTGTTGAAAAATCTAATTTGAGAAGGAAGAGACAGAGAAGGAGGAAAGGAAAGATGGATAGAGGACGGTGGGAGATGGGAGAAGGAGGAAAAAGATCTAGAGGATGGGGAGGGAAGATGGGGAAGGGAGCTTGTGCCTGCAGAAGACCCTTGGGAGTCCCTCCTCTGCAGAGGACCACATTTTCAGCACCACGAACAGCAGCTGACCCAGAGCCCCATGACCCAAAGAAGCCTAGGGCTGACTGCAATCCTGGCAGCAGCTGGGCACCTTAGAGCTGAGGAGCTGTTTGGAGGCGTGGGTGGAGAAGGAAGTGGGGGGACTTTACTAACATTCCTCCTCTCTTGTCTCCCTACAGCCACCCTGAACTCACAGAGAGGGAAAGATACTTGCCAAGATCCAGCTATGGGGTCCATGCTCAAAGGGAAGAGTAGAAAGGGACACCAAAGGTCTTGAGACTGACTTTTATTTTATTTTGTTTTTTATTTTTTTGCAGTACTGGGGGTTGAACTCAGGATCCTACGCTTGCCAGGCAAGTGCTTATTCTATTGAGCTATCTCCCCAGGCCCGAGATTGACTTTTAGAAAGTAGAGTAAGGCAAAGGATTTGAATTATGGGGGCCAGTGAGACAGTTCAGCAGACTAAAGGGCCTGCTTAAGCAAGCTTAGGCAAATGCAGGGACTGAGGTTAGATTCCCGGCTCCACATGCTGCACCATCCTTGCCCCCAGGGCAGGCTGAGCTGGCCAGAGTCAGGGCATAGTGGTGCATGTCTGTAAGGGGAGGCTGAAAGCAGGAGGATCACTATGAGTCTGAGCTGTGTAATGAGACCCAGTAATAACCAAATACATTTTTTTAAAAAAAATTGTATTATTCAGACCTGGGCTCTAAGACTAAGACTAATGTGTTCTGTGACACTTAATTCTCTGAACTTCATGTACCTGCTTTGCAAAATGTTAATACTTTAAGCAAACCAACCAAAGAAGAAAGAAACTCTGTCTCCCTCCTAGGATTGCTGTGGGAGGAGAGTGTGTTTGAAGCTATTCAATTCTGTGAAACACTACTGTGTCCGTCACTGTTTCCCTCTTTGTTACTAATCCACAGCTCTCGGTACACTCAGCCAACACTGAGCAGACACAAGAAAACCAGCTGGGGTCCTGTGCTCCTGGCCACGGCTCCAGTAGCTATGAGGCTGCAGCCGTGCAGGTCCACTCACCATGGGCCCAGGCCAAATGTGATTGGGATTTGCTGAGGCCGAGCAGGAGGACACTGCCTCGTGTTCCCCCCACCCCCAGCAGTGAGCTGTAACGGGGGGATGCTGGCCATCCCTCCTGCTCCTGTCTGCACATTGCACACACGCTTCATCAGCTTCCTCTCTGGGCACTGTGCCCTTCCGGCCCCCTGCTTCTCCCTTTGTGCAGCCAACAAGCCATTTCTGCTGCCTCCTGCTTTGGCCCTGACCCAGGGTCTGCAGCCCCCCTTTGCTTTTCATTAACACATCCTCATGCTACTTCCCACCTTCCCCCGCCTCTTGGTCTGGCCACCCCCTGCCCCCGCCCCCCCTGCACAGACATCACCACAGCAACTGGTTCCCACCAACTACTCAGATTGCAGAGGTGTTTGCCAATTCCCCCTGCCTGCCCATGCGGCCTCCCAATGCTCCCACCTCTCCCACAGTTGTCGGCTCTTCTCTGTGCTGCACAGATGGGCCTCTGGAGCTACTGACTTCATCCCAGCCTTTTCTCCTCACCCCAGATGTCTACAGCCCAGGCTAAGGTCCATCCCAGGTCTGCCCCAGCCCCTAACTTCCTGCACACACACACACAACACACACACACTCACACACACAGGTAATGCCACACGCACACCACCATCCAGATATGGTGCGTCCATGCTGTCATGGTTTGGGATTCTTGCAAGGGGAACAGTATAATACAGAACACATATTATAATGGTATTTCATAATGAATTACCCAAGAATCATACACAAGAAGTGCAGGAAATCTGTCCACACACATAAACACTAAAGACTCCAGCTGAGGGCCTAGATCCTAATACCCTGCATGAGTCCAGATGAAAACCTAGAGCTCATAACAGTGCCTCCCACAAGTCCAGCTGGAGGCCTAGAGCCCACAACAAAGTCTCATGCAGATCTACCTCACAGACCTTGCTGGAAAGATCCAGAGGTCAGTCTGGATCTAGGAGGTCTGTTCCAGTGGAATGACATACTTGCAATAGCAGGCTGAGGGAGCTGAGCTGGAGCTAGAAAACAATGCTCAAGGTAAGCACCGGAGCTCCCCCAAAGGGACCCCAGCTATCTGCAGCAACGGTGAGGTCCTGAGCTCCTCCAGTGATGTATAAAGCTGAGTTCCCATCAGGAAAGCCAACACGACAAGCTTCTCCAAGAGGCTGGGGAGTGCACCATCTTCCCCTCTGGAGCCTGGAAGTCATGCTCAGGATGAGGAAGAAGCTCCCCCAAAGTTCATGAGGAAAGCCAGCATGACAAGGTCCTCCAGCAGAACAGCCCAAGGGAACTAGCAGCTCGCAACAGCTCCAACAGCTTCTCCAAACAGCATCCCTAACAGCATTCTGGCAGCTTCTCTGTTCCGCCTTTATGCTGCTGGCAACAATCCTCAGGTGCGCCTCCTGCACCCAGCACCATGCTAGTTTAATTCAGCTGGGTATAATAAGTTGACCACCAGGTCGAAATCCACTACACATGCACACATAGCTGCAGCCAGACACACCAATGCACACATACAAGACACATAGACATAGGTGCCTATTGGCACAGAGAAAGCATGCACCCACACATATACAGTAATGTTTACATGAACTAGCATGCAGGCATTCACACACACACACACACACACACACACACACACACACACACAGAGCAGCCGCCCTATGAATCCTATGTCAATCTGTCCTCCTTATTGGTACTTTCTCAAACCATCTCCACAGCCCCACCTTTACAGCCAGGAAAACCAATTCTCTGCTTTGACCCAGAACTGGACTACTCCTCTTTATAGAGCCCTCCCTCCCTCCCGTTCCCTCTCCCTCTCAGTTTCTGGCAGCTGGTTTGCTCTTTGTGAAGGGAACAATGGGTTCTGTTCCTACAAGATTCCAGAGAGAAAGGAGAAGCCTGTCCCTTCTGGGAGCACACCTGTAGGGAGACAGCCGAGGGAGTTCTCACTTGATGAGACCAGAGACCTGCCTGCACTCCTGGTTTGGGCTACCAGCACCAGAGGGAGTGCCCTATAACTGCCCTGGCTCCAGCAAGGCAGTCCTCCTGGGTGCCAGCCTCTTCTCTCCCCTGACAGTGGGCATCAGGGAGGCCCACAGTGTGGAACACAGTGGTGTGCATCCAGAAGGCTCTTAGAGGCTCCTTCTGAAACTCCAGAGGTTTAAGCAAGGCTTCCAGGGAAATCAAGACAACCACAGCTGTGCATGGTGGTGCCTGTCTACTAGGAGGCTGAGGCTCGAAGACCGAAAGTTCAAGGCCAGCCTGGGCAATTTGTGGAGACTGTTTAAACATTTAAAAAATTGTAAGAGGTGTGTTTCATCCCCATTACTGAAACAAACCAGGACAACCCACTAAGACGCAAATGGAAGCAACTAGAACCCTGGACTGCTGGTGAGAAGACACAATGCTGAGTCCTGGGCCCTCTGCTGAGAACTTGTTCCTCAGTCAGTTATTAAATTCCCGGAAGCAGAGTCCTCCTGTATGCAATAGGAGTGGCGTGGCTCCTCCCGGGAGGAGGTGATACCAATGACAAATGTAGGGGACATGCCAGGAAGCCATTTCAGGGGAGAGGGCCGTAATAACAACCATGAAAATAATAACATTGGCCATAAAAAAAGATAAGCATGCATTATCTGGCAAATTCATTTATGTGGAACAAGTCATTTTTGGAGCAGGCGGAGACATGAGGCGTGACGGTATTATGATTTGTTTTTTGAGTGCTTTTAACTGTATGGGGGGTGGGGGTAAGGGCTGTTCAGGTGGCTTCCAGCTGAGCAGAGAGGAGGCTGCTAGTGCCTCGCAGCACCTCGTGCCCACACTCCAGCCCCCAACCCAAGCCTCACCTTGCTGCCCCACCTCCTCCACAGGGATCTCCACTTGCACTGTGTCTCCCCAGATGGGGTTTCGGGTGGGCTCTGAAGTCACAGAGGTGACCGTCTTGGAGCTCTCCTTGTTGTCTTCCTCAGATGTGGTTTTCCTAGGGAGAGAGAAGTAGGTGGAGTAGGAAAGAGGAATCTTTCCTACTCCACCATCCATAAATCTGAGTGACACTCATGTCATCCCTGACTCAGGAGACACCAGGCCTCTCCCCTCAGCTGTCCTGCCTGGCTGGTGACCACACTGTCTTGCTGGCCACAGCTGAGGTTTTGTTGGCCCAGGTCCAGGGTGGGGGTGGGTAGATGTCATATCTGTCTGACACTCTGCCCCTCACTGGGGCAGAGTGAGGGGCTCCCAGCAGAGGCCTGTATGTGTGGGCCTCCTCCTGACCTGGCCCCTCCTCCAGGCTTGGTGTCTGGGAGGAAGCTTCAGACAGTGTGGATGAATGAGTTTGCGATGCCCACCCAGCTGGCTGTCCAGGCCTCTTGGTCCTCAATTTCCTAAACATCCAGCCCAGCTACTCCAACTGGGCCCCTTTCAGTGAAGCACACTGCTCTCCTGAGGTGTTCACCAGGTGCGAGGCCTCTGACTGGGCACTCATAGCTGGGCACAAGGGCAGAAGTGAGTGAGTGAATGAATGCTCACAGGTGAGATGGGAGCCTGGCCCTCAGCACCCCTGTATAGCCTGCGGGAACCTGGGGTATGTGTCCCCAAATCCAGAGCCACCAGGCAACTCAGTGCAAACTAATACTGCTCATGTTGCAGGATATCCTATTGGGCTGCAAGTGGTGCTGCCACCTAACTTGGAGTCATCCTGGCACACTGGCAAAGGAGCTGTGCATGCATGGTGACCAGGTGCAATGCAGGGACAGCAGCTCCACCAGCCTTTACCTGAACCCAAAAGCCCCCAGATGAGTGTAGTATGAACCAGCCAGCTTGGAAACCCAGTACAATCTTTCCAGTGCTTCAGCTATACCAGCCTGCACCCTTCCCTTTCAGCCCAGCAGTGCCCTTCTCTGGAATGTCCTGGGCCTCATCACTGCCTCTGACTCCTGTAGCCTGGCTCCTAACCAGTTTTTGGAGAGTTTCATCGCCAAGCTCTGGGGGTCCAAGTAGATCCTCTTCTCTGCTTTGCCTGAAGAGGCTGTACTATATGATGAGTCTATGGGCATCCTGCAGCCACAGTGCCTGGGTGCCAAGTCCTGCTCTGCTGCTACTGGCTGTTTGACTCTAGGCAAGGCGCACAGCCTCCTTGGGCATTGGTTCCTTTATATGGAATGTGGGGTGGTCATGGTACCCACCCTGCTGGGTTGTGGTGGGAATGAAATGAACACGTAGTGGCTGGCACATCAGTAAGCACAGGCGATGCTACTAATAATTATTATTAACTTGTGAGTATAAATGAATCCCTTGTTATTGACCCATTGTCTGAAGATCTTGGCCTCAGTAGCCCTCCCATGACTGGCCCCTTTGCTCCTGGCCTGGTTTCTTTCTAGGATGACCCCCAATTCTGGGTCTGAGATGGGGGTCTCCAGCTGCCATGGCTGAGGTGTGGAGCAGGGGCTCTGGAGGTAGAGGCTGATTTTTTACCTCCCGGCACCTGGCCTCCCAGCTGAGCCTCAGCACCTTCTCTGTAGGAGGCTGGTTGTGGACATCATCACAAGGGAAGAAAGCCTGTGGTGCCTAGGAAGTGGGAGTGCATCTGTGTGATCTCCCTGGGTGGCACAAGTCAACCTGGGCTTTCCCCAAAGGGAAGAAAGCAAGCACTGAGGGGCTAGGGTTGAAAAGGTGCATGTCCTAGAGAGCCTGAGCCCCTGGGCCCATGTCCTTCAGGCCCTGCAGACTTGAGTGTGCTCCTGACACCTGAAGATGGCCATCTGGGCCAGTGGTAGGGGCTGTGAGCCTGGAGAGGGGGCCACATGAGACCTGGCAGGGCACCGGGGCTCAGCCCCACCATCTGCCCCCACTTCCTGGTTCTGTGACCTTGAATATAGGTGCAACACACCCTCCTCATGCCAGCCCGAGCCTCCTGCCAGACCCACCACTCTGTCCTCACAGTGGCAGTGCACCATGGTGGTGTCTTGGCCTTGCTGCCAGGGACCTGTATGTGGCAGCAGCAGACAGGTAGAAGTGCCAGGAACATAAGGAGGAAGGCAGCCATCTATGCCCGAAATGCCCCCAACCCACTCCTGTGTGGGCTCATCTTGGTGGGATCTTTTCTTTTCTTTTCTTTTTTCTTTTCTTTTTCCTTTCCTTTTCTTTTCTTTTCTTTTCTTTTCTTTTCTTTTCTTTTCTTTTCTTTTCTTTTCTTTTCTTTTCTTTTCTTTTCTTTCTTTCTTTCTTTCTTTCTTTCTTTCTTTCTTTCTTTCTTTTTTTTTGCAGAACCGGGATTGAACTCAGACCCTTGTGCTTGCCAGGCAAGTGCTTATTCTACTGAGCCAGCTCCCTGGCCCCTTGGTGGGATCTTCAAGCGGCTCTGTGTGCCCAGAGAAGACAGTACCCAAGGCGTGAAGCCACAGCCATGCAGGGACAGGATTCAGGCTGGACCCTGAGCAGGACTTGCCAGCCTATCAATGCCTTCCTGATGTCTGTGCCCCATCCCCTCCCCTTCTCCATATGACTCTGTGTGTGTGTGTGTGTGTGTGTGTGTGTGTGTGCCTGGGCTGGCACGGGATGAATTCCAGGTGCCAAGAGAGGGGAAGAGCTATGTGTCCAGACCAAGGACTAATTCCCGCAGGCCTACGAAGAGTTAAGTCTCCTCATTCCCGGCCCTGACACTCAGGGGTCTGCAGGGCCGGGTGAGGGAGATGGAGCTGGGTGGGAGGGGGAGGCTCCAGGGATGGGAGGCTTTTAGCAGGTGGAGGAAGCTGTCAGGGCAATGGCTTTTCCTGGCACTGCAGATTCCTTTCCTAGATGCGCTTCCAGCAGAGAGCAAGGGGGCCTCTGATCACTCAGGGAATAGGCAGGGGACCTGGCCAGTCCCCTCCCCCACCAGCTGGGAATAGGGCTGAGTTCTATCCCCCCCAGGGCATGTGCAAGACCTCATCCCTGCAGACTGTCTGCAAGGACAGAGAGGCCCCATCCCTGCCCCCAAAGCTCTGTCCTGGCTTTGCAGCCTGGCGCCAGGCAGACAGGGGCAGGAGGTGCTGACGGTGGTGCCTGCTGTCTCAGGGCTCAGACTTAATCCAGCTGCAGTAGGCTGGGACTGAGTGTGGCGTCAGAGGTAGAGGGTGTGTATCCTGGGCCCCAGCTGCTGGCTGGGGAGAATGTAACCCAAGGGCTGGTGTGTGTGTGTGTGTGTGTGTGTGTGTGTGTGACAAACGCCAGGCCCAAGCCTCTAGTCCTTGGGTCTGCACCCCAGCAGGGGAGAGAGGCCAGGTGCAAGGGCAGCTGGGAGGGAGTGGGAAGGAAAATAACTCAACTTTGCTTCCGCACACACAGTCGCAGTCACAGCTGAGAGAAAGTGGGTTGTCTGGTTCCCTGCGGCTATGGCTGAGAGTGGAGAGGAGTGGAGGAAAAGCACAGGATACTGATGGAGCCTGCAGAGGACACATACTGCCCTTGGAGGGTTCTGGGCCACATCAGACACTGTGCAGCCTTTGGCCCTTTACACCTGAGTCTGCCCCCACCTATGCCATAGCTTCCCTTGGCTTCCCCCTCTCCTCAGCCCATCAAAGTACAAATGAGAGTCACGGTCTTCCCTCCTTCCAAAGCAGAGGTTTGGAAGCCCAGGAGACAGGTGACCTAGTTTATGCTGGGTGCCAATCTCAGGAAAGGCTCTAGGAAGCCAACAGAAAGGGAAGGGTCACAATCCAAGTTTGGGCTACAGAGCAAACTACAGGGTCCTGGTGGGGAGGCTCCCAGGAGAATGGGAAAGACCAAGGGAATTTCCCATAAGCCCCTGGGTAGGAAGCAGCCAGACAGTACTGAGCCAGTTGACAAAGGCATACCCTTAGATGGATGGGCAACAGACATGCGCTCTTGTGTCCCTTTGATGTGGTTCGCCATGGCCCAGCAACTTGGAAGAAGGTTGGAAGAACAGGTTCAGGCTGAGTCCTTTTGATATAGAGGAATGAAATTCCCAACCAGAAAGTTATCTGGCTGAGTTTGTATTCCCTAAAACCGAAGAATTAATTTTAGGAACAAATGGAGATTAAGAGCAGAATATTTGTTGGACAAAAGAAAGCTTCTGTCCCAGAGAAGGACAGAAGTGGGACCTGAGCTGGTTGCTCAAGAAGCTGTCTCTTGCAGGGATTTTTATACAGTAAAACCATGTGGTGAGGTGGGTCTAACATGGAGAACATGGAAACTTGCTTAGGTGAGCATGAAGTGGGACAAAACTATGGTCAACCAATAAGATTAGGCACCATTGCTCAGGTAAAATTGATTAAATCCAGGACCTAAGGGAGAAGCAAGTCACATAGCAAGCAAGCATGAATATAGAACAGGACTTTATCGAGTATGTGGTAGCAGTTGGACTTTATCCAGTATCTGGTAACAGCTTCTTGAGCAACCAGCTCAGGTCCCACTTCTGGCTTCCTCAAGGTGATGATCAATCCCCGATGCTTATCTTTAGGGAAATAAGCACTTATTTGATCTTTCGTCTTTAGGTCTTGCCCACAGCAGGGGCATCCATCCTCTTACAGTTGCAAGGAACCTTTTTTTTTTTTTTTTTTTTTTTTTTTTGGCAGTACTAGGGATTGAACTCAGGACCTTGTGCTTGCCAGGCAGGTGCTTATGCCACTGAGCTATCTCGCCAGCCCAGTTACAAGGTATCTTGTCTTCCGTGCTATCTCCTTTGAGGGCCTAGCCGTGTCTTACTGCCTATAATATTTCTATCTAATCCAGCAGCCTACAACACTTTGAGCTAACTGTCCTGAGAAGGTCAGGCTGTTTCCCTCTTTCACATTCTCTATGCCTGGCTCTGAGCCACAACAGCCTCCCCTCCAGAGTCCATGAGGAGCTAGGCTCCCTCCTTGGAAGACACCCAAAACTTAGTGACCTCTTGCCTGATCCCAGAGCCCAGCCTTAGGCATCAAGGACAGGAATTGGGGAGGTGGCCTCTGCAGAGGGCCATCAAAGTGTGGTCAGAGGCTAAAT